AAAATTATAATATCAAAAAATTTACTTATCAGCAAAAAATTACTTATAAGATAAAAATTTATTGTGTAAAAAAAATTGCTCATAAAGTTAAAAAAAATACTAATAAAACAAAATTCAATTATAAAATATAAAAATTTACTTATAAGTAAAAAATCACTTATGTGTACATAATATTTTTAAAAATACAAAATTAGCTTATAATTGTAAATTTTACATTTAAGTAAAAAACTACTTATTTATTTTAAATTTAATGATAAGTAATATTTCATTTTTAAGTTAAAATTTAACTTTATATGTAAAAAATCATGAGAAAAAAAATTCTTACAAGAAAGCATAGATTAAGAATTTTACTGAGAGAGATATGATTTCATTTTATTTTTTTTTAAAGAATTATCCAGAACTCCCAAACAAGCCCTTAGGAATTGATAAAAGGGTGACGAGAAATGACTAAAACTCCCAAACAAAGCCCATATTATAAGATATGGCAATGTCAGCCCAAAAAGCAAAAGGCCGAAAGAGATAGAAAGTGTGCCACTGAAACCACCCAACCGCATGCTGCTTTCCTTTTTCTATTTGTTTATTTATCCTTTCGTATAAAACAAATTCCAATAATGGAAGCCGGCAGTATTTTGTTATCCAATAATGTATTGTCACATCAATTTTCTAAAGTGGAGGCTTTTAAATTTTATTTATAATTTTACTTTAAAATATACAATACAATCCAGCATAATGATATAATTCAAGTCTTGTTGAGAGTTTGAATAAATCAAATATTCTTGTGATGTTGAAATTTAATTTTGGTAAATTGGAATACGATTATGGGATCACTCAATAGTTAGCACGAGGTCTAAGTTTGATGAGACCCGGACTAAATAAAATATTAGGGTGCGTTTAATTATCAATATTTTTTATTCGAATTTTTACTTTTTTGCTGTATAATTTGACATTTTTTTCATGGAAAACGTTTTCTTACTTTTGATTACTTGACCATATTTTTTTAAATTCAAGAAAAATATTTTTTATAGGGGAGTACGATTTTATTTTTCAGGAAATCCACTATTTCTTTCTCTCTCGTCTATCTCTTCTCTCTCATCTATCCATTAATAAAAAATGGATAAGTATAATATTTTTTAAGTTGAAAATTAAATTAATCAAACATGTTTAATTAATAAGTTATCTTTACATGCAAATTTCGTAATCGCAATCAAACGTACTCTTAATGAAATTAACTTCAGGTGTCGAGTTGACTTGCGTAACGCTTATGGGCCTCCGCGCTTGGGCTCAATCTTAGGCCCAATTATTGAATATAAATTGGAAGTTTGACTCGGTTGACTTTGGTTAATTGATTCTAAAAGCTGAAATGATGCCACGTGGTTGACTGGTAGCCGTTGATGGAAGAGTTATTGGCTTATTTCATTTAAAAATACCCCGTTTGTCTCTCTTTTTGCAAGATTATTCTAGGGTTTTTTTGAGTGATGCCATTTTTCTTTCCCTCTGTAATTTATTCATCTTCTTTCATCGGTAATCTTTGCTTCTGATGATTTCTTGGTGAGATTGTAAAATAGAGTATTATGAGGGTTCATTTCTGTTCTTGGTAAGCAGTAATATTTGGTTACATGATGTAATTATGACAGGAGAGATCAAGAGAGAAACTATATTTCTAAGGACTTTTCTAGTTGATACTTTGAGCATTGTCTTGTACTCTTTTTGATTGCGCTAGTGGATTTAGAGTGTTAACCACAATTCTGTAGATCTTGAACGTGGTGGGCAGGCCTTTTGGTACAACTTCTGGACCTTAGGATGAAAAATTTTGGTTTTTCACTTTTTGTTGAAGTTTTGTTTTTAATTTGTTACAAAATACTAGCATCATGTTAGTGATAAAATCAAACGTTACAAAATCGGCTAATTATATTTCAGCACAGTCCAATTATCTTTAGGATAAGTCTTGGTATACATAAATTATGTATATTGGGGTGTTACACCCCTCACATGGGGTAGGGCCCACCTTCGCACAAGTAGGGATGCAAAAATTCCCAGCCTGTCCCTTAAGAGAAATAATAATAAAATAAACGGGGTGGCAAATTGGGCAAGCTGCCGCCCCACTCTAATTACTACACGCATGTGAGGGGTGTGAACAGTCCTATGTACCCAAATTATGTACATCAGGCACAATCCTTTACATTCATGCTTCAAGAGAAAACTGTAATTCTGTAAACAATTATGTAACCTAGTTTCACTTTCATGCTTTCTATTTGTTTTAGGTGGCAAAATTTGTTGATTAGCAGAGGTAATTTATATTAGTTCATGCTCTTTCATATAATATAATCTAATTTATATGTTAATAAAAAGAATATTGAAACTGAATCAAATTTTGAGTCTTTAGTTGGTATTAAGAACTCGATCAAGATCGCCTACTTCTCTCTTCTAAAACTCAAAATCGTTAATCCATCTATAAAGACAACTAAAAAATGACATAACGTATGCAAAAAAAAAAAAAAAAATCGAAATTAACCTAATTATGTCGTGTTACCTTGATTATCAGTTCTTTTCAAAAGGTGTGAATGTGAATTGAAAAATTCAAATCAGTACTTACAAATTGAAACTTGTTCACATGCATCATTGAAAATGCTAGTCTTACATTGCATGCTGGTAAAAAGCACGGTAGAAATGGTCATTTCTTTCTTTTTCATGGCACGTTCTAAACCAAATTGTGTTGTTAGAAATGACAAAATGAAACAAGGTAAGTACATTGTAAGCAATAATGTCAAAATTTATTTTGTCAATTGGTCGGTTGTACGATTTGGACATTATACCGATTGAAAATATATAAATGATTTTTTACATTTAGCCATTTAAATTTTTAAACTTGATGATTTGATATAATTATCAGAGTACAAAATATTATCTCGAGTTCAAGTTCCACTATCGGTCAATTTTGATATTACAACATGATTCGATATAATTATTAGAGTACACAATATTATCTCGAGTTCAAGTTCCACTATCGGTCAATTTTGATATTACAACATGTCAAAGCTTTTCATAGATAGATGAATTTTGACTTAGTAAAATAAAAATTATCGACATTTTAATTATGATAGTTAATCGAAAGCCCCTTAATCAAAATAAAACCAGGTAAATGTTTAGGTAATCAAATATGCTAGAAGTACAATACCTTAAAAAAAAAAAGGTTGACAAGGTGGTCAAGTGGCGGCCCCTCCTGAAAGCCAGGCACGGTATTGTACAAATAGAATAATTCAATTAGGTTGGCAAATTTTTTTGGTGTTCCTCTTTCAGCTAACCTGCCTAATAATGTTTACTTTTGTTAAGATTTTTCATATGACTAATTTTTAAAGTTTTTCCTTACACGTAATTGAAATTGAAAATTGAATATTGAATTGTAGTAGATTGGATTATAAACCTTTCAAACTTGAAAAAAATTAACTATATTTTGAAATTTTATTTATTAAAACAATTGAACTTTATAAATTGTTTGATTTCATGCATAGATAAATATTAAATTATTTATATTAAAATTTATTTTAAAAATTCATGTTTTTTATTTACTTATCTCTTCGTTTAAAGACACCTTTTTTTTTTTTTTTTTTGTCTAATCTATCCTTATTATATTGCTAAATTTGAAAAGTTATTAGTTGACAGAGATTTGATATTGTATTTTTAATGAGAAGATTATATACTTTGTTTCATGTATACAATTAAAACCATGAACTGGTAAAGACTAAAAGAGAGAATTTAAAAGGGAAAAGGCTTTTGAATTCCATTACTTCTCTTGAACTGTAAATAGAAATTTAAAACATTTTTAAAGTCCAAAACCCATTGCATAATAAGATAGTATATGTTTGACATTCTTTAATTTATTTTATGATTCATTATAGGATAATTTTCAACTATATATTCATACAATAAAATATTGTACACGTATACTATATTTTTTTATTCTTTAACTACACATTCTCCTAAAAAAGTAAATAATTAAAAAAATTCTTTTTGTCTCGAACTCATTTTCAACTATATATTCACACAAATAAAATGTTTTCCAGTTAAACTCTACACTTTTTCCTACTTGTTAGTTGTTAACCATATATTCCTCCAAAATAAATAAATAAATCATTAATCTAAAACTCGTTTTCTTAAAAACTTCAATAAAATGGATGTCAAATAGGGGCTAGATAATCTCCAGAAAACTTTGTAAAACACAAAATATTCTTTATTTTAGATATTCAATGATAAAAAATAGAGCTATGCTATTCATCATCACTGATTTTAAGTACTAGTCTAAGTAACAATTACATAAGGATAAATGACAGGTTCATTAAAATGTAAAATCACATTATTCATTTAAATGAACATATAAAGTGTAGATATCTATACTCATGTTAAACAGCATTATTTTTAAAAACAAACTCCAATAGACTTTATTTTTAGTTTAAAATTAAATAGTGGAATTGACTTTCCAAATTTAGAGAGTCAGAATCACTTTATATTCTCAATTTACAGTTACTGCATTTAATAAGCTACAAATTTTAATACTTTACAATTGAAATTATTCAAATAACATTTGAATTAATTGGTCAAATACATATACAAGAATTAAATAATAAGAGAGGAGAAACCAATATATATTTCTCAAAGAAAATAAAATAAAATAAAATAATTAAATAACAACATTGTTGTTGAAGTGCATGAAAAACTTTAATATTAGAATAACAATCGCATATATTGATTATTGTGAAAAATAAATGAATAAATATAGTGTTTGTTCAATAGGGATTTTGTTAATTGATTTTTTAACTGTTAGAGATAAAGTGGATCTTATCTATAAAAAAAGAATTTAAAAATAACGATTGAAATAGTGAAATAACGATAAAAAAAATTGATTTTAATTAAATTTTAAGCTGTACCAAACATGTCCATAAACGACATCTACAGGAGTATTTCGAGAAGAGGAGCAATAAATGGTTTAATAAAGGCGGGCCGCGTGAGTGATTAGTCATTTCTTCTCTTCTCACATTTCAATTACGACACCCACTACCGTCCATTACCATTCCACCCATAAATCCCCCTCTCTCTCATTCTTCTTCTCCATTCTCTATTTGTCTTTGTATTTGGAGTCTGTGAGGTAAGGTGGAGGTGGGTCTGGTCCCCATTTTGAAATCTATGGAAGGAATATAAATTCGGAGAAACTAGTTGAAAAACTCTGAAACTCTTCTGATTTTGATTGTGATGGCTTCTTCATTCACCGCAATTCCCGATGTGAAATCGAACCCATTGCGCAAAAAGCGAAGGAAAATGGGGACGGAAACCCAGTCCCAAATGAATACAATAGAGACGACGGGTCGTTCTACATGGAAAACCGAGACAGAGCAACAAATCTACTCGTCGAAGCTCGTCCGCGCTCTCCGCCATCTCCGCCGTTCAGGCTCCTCGTCTCCCTCCGCCTCTGGTCGCGCGTTGCGTGAGGTTGCCAACAGAGTCCTCGCCGTTTCAGCCAAGCGAAGGACTCGCTGGAGCCGGGCGATCCTTACGGGTCAACTTAGTCTCCGACTTGCTCAGATCAATAAGAAACACAAGAAAGCATCAAAGCCGACTACTGGTGGTTCCAGGTCGAAGAAACGAGCTGTGAAGAAAAAACGGCCGCCTGTGCAGAGTAAAGTGCGGGTTTTGGGAAGATTAGTTCCCGGTTGCCAGAACCTTGCATTGCCTAACCTTCTAGAAGAAACGACTGATTACATTGCGGCTCTGCAAATGCAAGTCAACGCGATGACTTTCCTCACTGGCCTCCTTACAAGCGGCGGCTCATTGACCGCTTCTTCTGATCGCCTCGGCTCTGATCAGTAGGGAATTACTTATATTGGGAAATTTTTATTTTATTTTTTATTTTGAATATTTATGAATCAATTTTTTAAAAGCCTGTGTAGCTGTGTTAATAACTGGGAAGTAATTATATTTTGCCTAAATTAGTAAAATGTGTTCATGTCGCCCTATATAAGAGTTTTACAATTTATGGCTTGTTTGAGCCAAATTATTTTAAAAAAATATATATATTTTTTAACAATGATTTGACATTATTTTAATCATATATTTTTCAATAAAATAATAATGCATGCAAATTTAAAACTTTTTCTTATTTTTTAACTACACATTTTTTATTAATTTGATATGAATAATGCATTTTTTTTACTAGAATGTGGCTCAAACATGAACTTAATATTTTTCATCTATTTTAAGCACTTGTTGGGATATAGACATTTTAAAAATTCATTTAAAAAAAAAAAAAAAAAATATATATATATATATATAAAGTCACATATTATTTCAATAAAATAACTTTGTATGTGAATTCATAATTTTTTTTTCTATTTGTTCATCACACATTCCTGAAAAAAAAAATTAATTTTTACAAAATTTATACTATCTCCGCCCTATTTATATATATTTGTTTTATTTTTTTACAGAGATTAATAAATCTTATTTGTTGTTATTGAAAAACTAATTTTTTCCAAAAATTTTCTTAGTCTACTTGCTACCCTTATATAACTAGTTCAATTTCAAAATTAAGTAAAAAAAATTGATTATAACTAGATAAATTAAATAAGAGTATATTAGTAAACAAACGAAACAACACATTATTGGGGATAAGAAAATAAAGAAATTTAGTCTATATAAATGTGACGGGTTGTATTAAAAAAAAAACCTCATGAAATACACTGAAGAGTTAATTGTCATGATAATCACAAAACTTAAATTGGCATAATTGATCGTTCACGCATAATTGATTGTTCAATCTTCTTTAATATGTTGAGTTTTGATCATTACACTTTTCAAAGTATCATACATTACTTATTGGAATCACTTCCTTTTTGTGTTTCTAACAGAAAGTTGTTCTGACAAATGGATTTTACAATTAGAGTCCCATCACTGTTAGAAGTCCAATCACGAAAAAGAGATATTTCACATAAACAAGGTGATTGCTAACGATACTTCGACAGAAGATAAACAAAACACATGTTCATCATCTCGGCGTCACTTTAAAAAGTTTAATAACCAAAATTCAGCTGGTTTAAAGTGTAGTGTGCAATCAAAATTACCTGTCAAAGTATAGTAAACAATCAAATATACCTTACTCATGTGGATGGTCCCTCTCCCATGATTCGACATCTAACGGTGATGGGATGCCAATTGTGAAATCCGTTTGTCAGGTTAGTTACGTTAGAAAAGCAAAACGAAAGTTATTCCAGTTAGCAACGTCAAATACTTTGAGAAATTTAAAGAACAAAATTCGACACCTTAAAGTGCAGTGAGCAATAAAAAAACGTTAATCTAAGTTTAACAATTATTGGGACAACTAACTGCAGTCTGAATATCTGATTGCATTATTTCTTTAGTAAATTTCGTACCGTGCAACTTGGATTTGGACATTGTAGCTAGCTATCGTGCCTGAATTATCACATTCAATGAAGTGGCCCGCTTGTTTATTATCAGTCGTGTACACGATTCATCTGTCATTGTTACAGATTGTATGGAGAAAGATTCTTTTTGTGGTGTCAATATCCTCATATCTTAAATCCCGAGCTTCAAGGGATCTGTTCGAACATTTGTGTTGAAGATAAAATTTAAATAAATAAACATAATCAAATAAATATGTAAATTTTTTATAAAATGATGACAACATAACTTAAATTCACAACTTCGAATCTTTATATTTACAAGTTTAATAAACTTATTTAAATCTTAAATTCTGTAAGCTATGAAGATTTGATGCTATCATGAAAAAATTTTCTTATAATTATGTCGAATTGTCGAGTATAAAACATCAAACATATACGATTTGTATTTTTTATATACAAATTAGGAGGAAAATGGTGAGGAATAAGGGTAGCCCCACAACTTTGGAAGTTGGCAAAATCTGCCAAACACAGCCACCTAATAGCCAAGAAGCCGCCCGTCATGTGCTACATTTTCAGGCAGCCCCACCCACTTATGGTTTAGCTTTTTTCCATGAATATACTTTCATGGTTGAGAATAATTCTTGCATCATTAAATCATTTATTTATTCTGTTCTCGTAAAATTAGTCGATGATCCAAAACAAAGATGCCATCCTATCCAAAACGCTCGACGTGTACGATAGAAATAACTTATTTCACATACTTCACATACGATCAAGGTTAATCAGTCCTTTATCGTAGAATATCTTACCTTCGATTCCACCATTGATACAGAAGGGAAATGAAAAACTACCAAAACGAAACCCCCAACCCACTTGGGTTTATTTGGAGCTAAAGAAGTTTACGATGGGGTTGATTATGAAGGACCACATATAATGTTACATTGTGTAGGCTTTGTTGGACCAACACAAGTTATAACGTGCGCACTTCGTTTGTTTATTTTGGCATGTCTATAGCTTTTATGTATAAGCCCATACGCATTCATGTAACTATTATGACTAAAGTCATGGAACTCAGTGTCCACTACTATCATAATGGTCAGCAATCAGCATCAACTCAGGAAAAAAAATAAAAAATAAAAAATAAAAAATCGAATAGATGAACTTATTAACAACCGACGCTCAAGAACACTCGTGACATGTTTTGGTACAAATGATTGAAGAGTACTAACTATATTATAAAGGATAAAAAATAAAATAAATTTAATTTTATTCATTATAGTTCCTTTGTTTGAGCCCCATTTTGTAGAGAAAAATATATTTTTGAATAGTGTATTGATGAAAAATGTATGGTTAAAAAATAAAGAAAAGTTATAGATTTACGTGTAATATTATTTTATTGAAAAATGTGTGGTTAAAATTATGTCAAAACACTGTAGAATAATGTATTTTTCTTGAAGAATGGGGCTCAAACAGTCCTCCGATATTTTTTGTGTGTGTATAAGAAGCACCTAGTTTGTCGTAAATGAAACATAATTATTCTTTTAAAAAAAAATAATAAATGTATTTATCACTTTGGATGATTAGACACTTAGGTATGACATGAGAACAAGCAAAAATGTATTCAAAATATCGGGGTAATTAGTACAAAATGTTCATATCTTTCAATGTTATTGTGTAAAACGTCCATACATTTCATTTTTTGACATGTTCGCCCTTATTTTAACGTTTCATTGCAGAAAATGTCATTTTCACATTTTTTATATAAAATGACCAAAATACCCTCCCATTTAAATAAAATAAAATAAAATAAAAATAAAGAATAAACTACAATCTTACTCCTAAATGTTTTAAAAAGTGTAAGTAAATCCAAATAATTATTAAAAGGCTTAATAGTACAAAAGGTCGATACGTTTGGCCTATAGTGTACAAAACGTCCATGCATTTCAAAATTGGTGAAAATAACGTTTTCCGCAATAAAACGTGAAAATATGAATAAAAATGCAAAAACAATTGAAACGTAGGAACGTTATCCATAAGAAGTGTCAAATGTAAAATTATTAAAAATAACAAAAAAAAACTCTCTCTTCTTTTCTTCTCCAAATGGGACTGCCACGTTAGAGGTGAAGAAACTCCGACCAACCACCGTCGAACCTCCATACCGCTGAATCATCTGTTAATATTTCAAAACCATGAAGAGAGGCACCATTGTTAGTATAGTCGATTGATATGTTAGAAATGACATGAGTCTCTCCGAAATAGACGATGTCGCTAATATTTGCATTAGCGAGTTGTGTATTTTGACTTGCAATTTCAAACAAATCTATTGGCATGAAGATTTTAAAGTTGGATGTTATGTGGTATGAAGAGGGAAGTGAAAGCTTTTCGATGGTATGGTGGTCTAGCATTTTGGGTGGGGGTTTGCTGGAATTTTTTGACTTCTAAGATAGTTAACTCATTTGGAGAAGAAGAGAAGGTAGAGAGAGAGAGAGAGAGAGATTTTTATTTTTTTAAGGCTCAATAACAAAAAAAATTTCCTATATTTGACACTTCTTATGAAAAACGTCCATACGTTTCAATTTTTTTGCGTTTTCACCCCTATTTTCACATTTCATTGTGAAAAACGTCATTTTTATGAATTTGAAACGTATGGACCTTCTGCACACTATAGGCCAAAAGTAAGGATGTTCTGTACTACCAAGTCTTTTAATAATTATTTGAACTCACTTGCACTTTTAAAACATTTAGAAGTAAGATTGTAATTTATTCTTAATTTTTTTTTGTTTTATTTAAATGGGATGATATTTTGATCATTTTACATTAGAAAATGGTGAAAATGACGTTTTCTGCAATGAAACGTTGAAATAATGGCGAAAATGCTAAAAAATGAAAGGAATGGACCTTTTGTGCTAATTACCCCAAAATCTTGTCTCTATCTAGTTATGAAAATTCCATTTTTCAAACATTTGAAGAAAAATGAACTTGACTGTCAACATAGGAGTATCTTAAAGATGAATTACAAACAAATACATTATTTACTCTGTAATAACTTAGCCTGTTAATATAAATGTGTTCCCTCTACTTCTACTTTGTAATGTTAGGCACAACATTTTAACATCAATTGGACGATAAAACTATCTTATTCTACTGAAAAAAAAGGGGGAAAGGAAAAAAACAACTACGGAGATAATAAAGGTGAATCTTTCTTTCAAATTCTCAAAAAAAAAAGACATATATATATAAACCTTTGGCTCGAATTGTACCTTGCTCTTCAACCTTAAGAAATGTGCATGTTTTCTGCCTAGTAAACAACTAGCAATCACCAAATGAATGTCCATAGGGAGGCAGAAAAGAGAGAGGCTCGAAGCACATTTAGAACCTGTGATTATGAAGTCTTGTAGACACCGACTACCAACCAGCACAACAGTTAACTCTATCATACTGCCCAAGCAAAGAGTCGTTAAGATTTCACCGGCTCGGCCCTTGGCCTCCAGAGTCCAAGCCTATACTTGTGGGCATACTTCAATATCAACTTCCTCTGCAAAAATAAAATTAATCAATTTTAGAGGTTTCACTGCATGGATTGGTTAATAAAACTTAAAATCACACAATAATGTAATGCCAAACGATTGCATTCGTTTCATAAACGACTACTCAATTTAATCTTTATCCGAGTAGCTTTAGGAAGTAACAGATAATACATTCTACCTCGTGTTATGCTGTCTATATTTTATTGAAACTCCAGTTACATGGCATCCCCCATAACCCAACCAAACCAATCCCACCCTCTAAAGAAAAGAAAGTAAATCATTCAAGTGTATATGTCTAGAATAGTTAATAAGCGACCATTTAGATTAAGGCAAAAGAATGAATGTACTAAATTTGAGGACCATATCAGCAATTTGCTCATTTCGGTAGGGAAACGAGTGATCAGCAAATGGAGCCCCCGTTTGGCCCCCAATTTGACGAAAAATTAATAGGTGAAATAATGGTTTTTTTTTTTTTTTTTTTTTTTTTTTTTTTTTTTCACCCCTTTTTTAAAAAAAAAAAAGGGGTTTGTTTAAAAAAAAAAAAGGGGTTTGTTTAAAAAAAAAAAAGGGGTTTGTTTAAAAAAAAAAAAGGGGTTTGTTTAAAAAAAAAAAAGGGGTTTGTTTAAAAAAAAAAAAGGGGTTTGTTTAAAAAAAAAAAAGGGGTTTGTTTAAAAAAAAAAAAGGGGTTTGTTTAAAAAAAAAAAAGGGGTTTGTTTAAAAAAAAAAAAGGGGTTTGTTTAAAAAAAAAAAAGGGGTTTGTTTAAAAAAAAAAAAGGGGTTTGTTTAAAAAAAAAAAAGGGGTTTGTTTAAAAAAAAAAAAGGGGTTTGTTTAAAAAAAAAAAAGGGGTTTGTTTAAAAAAAAAAAAGGGGTTTGTTTAAAAAAAAAAAAGGGGTTTGTTTAAAAAAAAAAAAGGGGTTTGTTTAAAAAAAAAAAAGGGGTTTGTTTAAAAAAAAAAAAGGGGTTTGTTTAAAAAAAAAAAAGGGGTTTGTTTAAAAAAAAAAAAGGGGTTTGTTTAAAAAAAAAAAAGGGGTTTGTTTAAAAAAAAAAAAGGGGTTTGTTTAAAAAAAAAAAAGGGGTTTGTTTAAAAAAAAAAAAGGGGTTTGTTTAAAAAAAAAAAAGGGGTCTAAAAAAAAAAAAAAATTTTTTTTTTTTTTTTTTTTTTTTTTTTTTTTTTTTTAAATAAGTGGTTGAAAAAAAAAGAAAAATTTTCGGTTTACTTTTAATATTATTTTATGGAATATTGTGTGGTTGAAAATAAGAGAGAGAAAAATGACATGTAATGTAATGAAAATTAATGGGGGCCAAACGGGAGCTGAAAGGATATTTATCTGAACTAATTGCAGTAAACGTGCATTGCTAGTTATTTTTAGATCTTTTTAAGTCCTATAAAAATACTATATTTTAAATAAAATAGTTCAACATATATTAATAAAGTCAAATTAAATTTATCACTAAAGAGAGAACAAGTATTATTATTACCATCAAACAACTTAATGGACCAAAGAGCCATGCATGCCTTGCGAATTACGAAAATAGATATCACTAACTTATAGCACAACTTCTTTATTTAGTGTTACTTCATATACATCACTCACTCTTCAACTCGAACTTGACCTTCCTCCACCACACCTTCAACAAATTTCTCCTCTTCTAAGGTGGCTTCATATGCCAGAGCTAGTGACTTCCTAAAAATAGAAACTTAAAAGAACGCATTTGATACCATTATAGGTGAACATTGGATATGAAGAGAATAATTGATGCCTTGAGTTTGGTCAGTGACTTCTTTTATTGGCTTCTATGAATTGTGGAGCACATAGTTATTTGTAGGTTCTTCAAAACATGAATATAACCTAATTCATATGGAACTAAAAATAGGTAAACTCGGTACTGGAATAGAAGTTAAAACCTCTAATCACTATATTATGCCAGAACAGAAACACAGGGACGCATTGCTCCAATTCTCCATAGCCAAGACGTATTAAAGCTACTCAACCTCTCCAGGGGTAAACAGTAAACTACGTGCAAGACATGCTGCAGGCTGAACAAAGGTTATAGGACCATAAATTTTGAGAAAAGACGTCCACGTTTCTTGTTTCCAAAAACCCCATAGCATTGTTGACAGGGATGAAGCAGAAAACAATCATGACATAACTTGTGCAGGATTCCTCTATTACTTGAGTACCAAGATGAGAGCATATCGCATTGACCTTGTTTGAATACTAAAATGGTAGATTTATGAATTCAGAACGTTACGAGTTTTAGTGCAACCCCCATGTCTAACCCATTTAACAAACTGACATAACTGAAAGCTTATTTACATAAAGCCAAAAATTGATAGAAGAGGCCCAGCAAGACAATCATGAATGGGAGATACTATGAACAAAAGAGGTAATCAACCCATAGCCCTATGAAGAAAATTTTACGTTCTCAATATTCCCTGCATATTCATAAAAGAAGAATATGCCAGTCAACATCTTTCTTGAAAGCTTGCCTAAGCAAATCTGTCAAAATAGTCGGTTAACTCCATATATATTTCAAAAACCAGTTGTCTGTTCTTTCCCTGTATCTTCTAGTGAAGGTTTAGAATTTACTTGTTCATTTACAAAATCTACTAATGCCAATTTGGTTATGATTTTCCAGAAGAAAAACTGTTCAAGACAATTTATAGTACTAAAATTTACGTGGTATAGTCATTTAAAATTGATTCTTTAAATTGTGACAAATAACCTGACGTTCGCCACAAAAGTTTACAGGCTGGTCTTTCACGGCTAAAAAGGAGTGGATACTGAGAAACAGCAGTAGGGTACAAGGTTAAATGGCACATTTTTAACAAAAAGCAAAAAAGGAACTAACACGTGCACGCAAACAGGAGGGAAGAAGGGAAAGGGAGTACCACACACTAGCATATTATGGAAACTTTGATAAAGATGACACATTAATGAGGACATAACTGACACTAACCCAACAAGCTCAAGCCTCTTTATTCAACCTTGTAAAGTAAACAATAATGCCATTTACAACAGAACTTTCTCAAGTTAACAAGTATATGAACATGAAATTCAAAAATCTTCTCTCATTTGAGTTAATAATTCAATACAATCTAGATTTACCAAGTTAACGAAATACCTTGACTTGAAGTATATGGAAGGTTACTTATGATTATGACATGACTATCAAAAGTTGAGTGAGTAAACTAGCACTTGGTAACCAAATTGTAAACAATAAGGTGTTCCACTAAGCACCAACTCAGATACCGAAATTAGAAGTACATCAGATGGGAGCTTGAAATGCTCGGAACAACTACTCTAATCACACAAAAGGATAATAACCAATATATAACATTGTAACTTTATATCTCTTCCTGATCAACTCTGTAAGCACAGAACTTAATGTGCACTAAGCTAAACAATAATTGCAATACCGAATTTCCAAAACATTTTCCCATCTGAAGTAAAAAATCATTAAGGCTTCAATTGTCACATGGCACAATACCTTTTCTCTAACCTAATTAAAAAAGAAAATGGTATGGTGAGTATCTCACACATCTAAGTGCCACACAATTAGTACGTTGCTTCACTTTTCACGTGCCAAATCAATAATACTTCACTTTTCATATGACAATACTTTCTTCTAACCTAAATTGATAATGCAAATGCTGCGGTGAGTTAACAACTCTCAGCATCTAAGTGATGGTACAATGCACGAATGCAATTTTCACAGTAATGAGAACCACCCACATTATTTGTTCATTCCCATAAAGTAAATATAAATCAAATTATGAATATTAGCATATCTAATAATTTACAGAAGTTATACAATTGAAACAAAATAGTAATTGTACTCCTAGACTAATGTGATCATCATCCTGATGTGCCACATAACTGACCCACGGTGGGGTGCTGACACATTATCGGCATGTGAAACAAACCAGAATGATGACTTCACATTGGTATGGGGCATAGAAATCTTCTATCTACACTTCAGTTATTTTTTTTTTTTTTTTTTTTTTTTTTTTTTTTTTTTTTTTTTTTTTTTTTTTTTTTTTTTTTTTTTAGCACCGACAACTCAAGGGACATGCCTCCGAAATAGGAAGAAAAATTATATTTCTTATGAAAACTCTTTCAATTATTCGCTCGAAATTAGAAACTAAGTTAACACTAGGGTGAAATAGGCCACCACCACCCATTTATTGTTGCCAAGATCTGACATTTATTGATTTGCAGATTCCAGCTGAGTTGAGATCATATCCATTAACTGGAATTTGACCGCATAAGTTTTCACCATGCAATGTAAATAGTAAACCAAGAATAAAGAGCTTTTTAGTTCTAATTCCCTTTTTCTTTTTACCCGCACCATGTATTGCACATGTCTAGACAATTAACCACAGACTAGCACAAGACTTGTGATGCTCGAACTCGGGTACGGGTACGGGTACGGGTTTAAGTATTGGACCTTTTATTTTTTAAAATTTAGGATATGGGGACATAGCTAAAAAGAGTGTAAATTTCAGACATCGGTACGTGGGTACATTTTTCAAATTTCAAATTTTATTTAATTTTTTTTATTCATAGATACCATGAAAGATACTTTTAATTTTTTTAAGATTAATTATTTTTTGAATAGTAGCCAAGATTTGGGGCTTCTTTTTATAATAATAGGCCTCCTATCCTGAGCCCAAACAGTACCCAGGGCAACTTGACTCTAATCTTCTATGAAAAGCTATTCTCTCTTATTGGACCTCCACATCTTGAGAGCATTTCATTAACCCAACCCAATTCCTGTATTAAAAACCCTATTTCTCTCTTCCCTCATCTCATTTCATGACTTCTAAGCCGTCTTCTTCCCATCCAACACAGAGAAGCCGAAATGGGTCGTATAATTTCAGCATAGTGTAGGGAAGCAGGATTGTATTCAAGTCCCACACCCATCATCACAAGGATCCTTCCCAATTCCGTTCTCTGACATAGGCAAGCACATGACTCATTTTTTTTCCAGCGGCCCCGTCATGGTCAGCCTTCAAGGTTGTTGTGTCCGGCTGATTTTTGCCATATCCGCCTCATATTCCTTACACGTACTTGTGTCGTGTCGGGTCGAGACAGGTGTTTCGTCTAGAATCGAGAGTCCGTGCATCACAGCTCAAGACTACTGCTTAAAACTATTCCATAACTAAGACCAATATTAATTACACACTAATGATTTCCTAAAGCACCGGTCCGTAGCTTATGTTGAGAACGGGTGATATATCACATCAATTAATTGGTCAACAGTGTGACATGGCACACCGGTGCTTAACATAAGCTAAGCACAGGTACTTAAGAGCTCTGATTACGTACAACCATATCTTAAATATAGCACAATCAATAAAATAAATCAACCCCAATGCCAAGTTTTCGAGGAACAGCACAAATTATTATCCCCCGGAACAACATAAAAATTAGAAGTCATATCCAAAAATTATATAAGACAAATAGTCAGTAAATTTCTTCTTCCTTTTTTTTTGTGTGTGTGTGTGTGTGTGGGGGGGGGGGGGGGGGGGGGATTCCTAAACTATTCTTACCTCTTGGCATTTAAGGCCGATTCTCTTGAGCTTAATGGTGCGGGCCACAAGAAGCTTCTGCAAGTCGCCAAATTCAGACTCCAGCTTTTCCACATGCTGCTCCAATCCTTTCTCCACTCCACTCAAACACTCCGGTATCCCAACCTTCACTGCACCACCAACAAACAAGGAATTTTCGAAAACCCATAATCACCATTTACCACCCTAAAAGGTATCGCCCTAAATATGCATTCACATACATACAAACACAATTTGTGAAACAAACGAATTACCTACGTAAGGATTGGATTTCGATGAAAAGCTTGCCAACCCAGTAACAGAAATAGAAGGGGTTGACAGTAATCTTTTGTTGAAGAATAGAATTTGCCTCCATGCCATATGGGAATCAAGAAATTATAATATGCATAGGGGTGAGGTCGAGTGAGAGCATAACCCTGGGAACAGGCGCAAAGCGTTTTGTGTTTCGTCCCAAGTGAAGCATGTTTCCCTAGAATTTATTCGAAATTTTTTATTTTCTCAATAAGATAACTTAGGACATGTACGAAAATTGATTTTTTTTTTACCGTTAAAGTAAAAGGTTGGTTTTGTCCGTGAGTGAAAAAGTAAAAAATGACGATAAAATTGTGAAATAACAGTAAAAAAAATTAATTTTTCGGGAAAAAAATTAATTTTTCGGACTATTTCTGAGTCCCTTAAGACTTTAGCTATGTTTGTAACCACTTCTCTATTTGAAGATCTCTAAGACTAATTTGTACTGTATTATATATTTATGATATAGTGGCTGTTTGAGAGTCATTTTTATATAAAAATGTATTCTATAATAGTAAATTGATGAAAAATGTGTGGTTGAAAGAAAAAAGAATGCATTTAAAAAAAAATTGGTACCAAACGAAGCCATAATATTCATTTGATTTATTGATCATCTATATTCAACTTTTATTACATAAATTGTATGAGAAATGATACTTGTAAAAGCGAATGTACAGACAATTTTACAGGTGTCGAGTTCACAGAACTTGATTGATTGTTTTAACTATATTTTTTATCCAACATCTAATAAAATATTGCCATGTGGCATTCTATATATCAATCTGTGCATTTCCTCTGTACATGTAACATTGCTCAAATTGTATTGTGATGCTATCAAAAATTGCATCTATTGTTTCCCGAGGTTGATGGCTAAGAGTGACCTTGAGTGAGTTCTTCCAATACCTGAAACAAAGGCTTTGAGGTGTGTTATCATCTTCTCTCCAATGCTTAAGTCCGAGAGAGAATTTAAGTGTGAGGCCATGAATTGGAAATAATGAAAAATGTACTTCAATAATAAGCTTTGATAATGTATTTATAGACGTTGGTGGTAGGGTTATAGGAAGATTCAACCTCTTGTAATTCTTATCCATATCATGCAAGGTGTTTGTGTTATATTCAAAGTGCCCTGTTTGAGTTTGAATTGGATTGTGATAAGTTAATAATGAGGCTAAGGGGGAATTATAATCGAAGTAGGATTAACGTCTTCTAAAACGTAGGGGAGGAATGACATTAAAGGACTTATGGCCTGCCCTCAATGTAGACCCGACATCACTATTAGGGGAAACGGAGAAAGGCAAGGTCGGGACAATAGGTCGAGGTCGGATATAGGTGATTTATGTACCATCATATTGTATCATATATTTTAAATGATGAAAAAATTATGAATTATACATATGGTTTGGGGTCAGAAAGCTACATCTTCATAATAGTGTCAAAATAGGCAGACCAATCCAAGTTAGCTCGTGAAATGTCTAGACTATGAGCCTGCTCAATCTCACCCATATATGCCTTTTTTTCTAACTTTATATATATATATACTAGTTTTCCACCGTGCAATGCACGAATTATGTCATTTTTAGTTAATATTAACGCGTAAAAATATCTATTCATTTCTCTCAATAAATCTACAAATTTAATTAATTGTTTAAAATGATAAATGAAAATGCAATCTTCATATATGACACACACTTTGCATCATCATATATTATTATTAATCGATAATATACATGAGTGTACTTGAGAGTTTAAGTTGAAGACAAAAAAGTTCATATTTGTCCAAAATAATCGATACACATAAGATAAACAAAAAAAGAACTACCGAAACATATATATAATATCTTTTGAACACACATGTTTGATATACGTTTAACTAATTTTGATATTCATTTAAATTATTCGATATATCTATAATATAGTTCTCGAAATGAGTTTCGAGATAATATAGAAGATTTATGTATTCGACTAATGTACAATCATCGATGAATTTTTAAAGTTAGCTTGTTATCGAAATTCTTAATTTTTTAAATAATGTCTCTTTTAACATTAACCAAAAATTTAAAGTTTAATAGAAATTTTTTCTAAATGGCGTCAAAAATTTCATTAGATTATTTTAAAAATTAATTGATCGAGACGAAAAAGTAACAATAAGAAAAAAATTCTTAAAAATGATCGAATTTCTTTTATATATAATTTTTTTTCAGATGTTAAAATAATCAAGATGAAAAATTAGTTGGTCTCAATTTTGTATTACTATAATTGAAATGTATTTTCTGGAGATACGATAAATGCTCTCTTGATGCATGGATTAAAAATTCAAATTATTGGAGCTCATAATTTATATATCAAACATTATTTTAGTTTGAGTGGTTATTTTACATATAAATGACATATTTGATAATAACTATATTCAATATAATTAAATCATGTAATTAATCGAATCTTTTTTTTTATTATTTAATATCCAATCGATTTAATGAAAAGTTTTTTATTTACGTGTAATATTATTCTATGGAAGATTCTGCGATTGAAAATAAAAGAGAGAAAAAAAGATTTAATGGAGTCAAACACAAGCTGAGCCACATTATAATATTTTGTCACTTAAATGGGGTTGAGATTTTTATTTAATCACCCAATTTTGATATATTTGAATTTAATCCTCCAAAATTTATATACATCTAAAATATTCAATATCGTCAAATAAATTAATCGACATCTTTTCAACTGAGTATTAAATTTTTTCAACATTGTGTTAAGTTTTACTTTGATTTATCGCAGTTGCTTTTAAGAAATAAAAAATATACATGATTCAACATACTTTGTGTCACATTATAAGGATAAAATAGATTTGTATAAAAAAAAATATATCAATCACCAAAAAAAAAAGAGGGAAAAAATTATTACGACAATACTTCGTGCATCACGGAGCAAATGCTCCGTGATGTAGGGAGTTGCTCCGTAATGCATGTTGTTATTATTATTATTATTATTATTATTATCATTATTATTATTATTATTATTATTATTATAATGCTCAGTATCAATTTTTTTTCATTGGGTGATTGATTTTTTTTGTGTCAATTTTTTCCCTTTTTTTTCACTGGGCGATTTATTTAATTTTTTTATATAAAAATCTACCATAAATCTTCTATATTCTCTTGAAATTCATTTCAAGAACTTATCATAGAGGCATCGAATAATTTAAGTGAATATCGAAAATAGTTAAATGTACATCGTTTGTGTGCTAAAAAAAGCGTATAACTCGTCCTTATTTCTTTAAAAAAAATCAATAATTTTATTATTGTTTATTATTTTCTCGCAACAATTTTCTCAATATAATTTACATCATTTTCTTTAAAAAAAAAAATTTATGTGTATGATGTCAACTATTTTTTTTTTTTTGGACGTAAAAATTCAAATCAGGCAAAACAGGGAATCAAACCCTTTAGGTAGCACACTATTTTTAACTTTTTGTTATTTTGTCTACATATAAAAAGGCAATTAGACCCATAGTGTGAGAGTTACTGTGCGAGAGAGTTGAGAGTAAAATGAAAAACACCTAAATACGCCCTGAAAAACACCTAAATACGTCCTAAATGAACAATAACCGCCTGATTCGCTCTTTTTAAGATAGTAGTGATATATATGTTGTTGAGTTTGGACCTCACAATTTTTATTTTTATTTTTATTTTTTGGGCCGATTCAATTCCTTGAGCCGGCAAGCTAGGTCTCACTGACGGCGAGCCAGGCTATTTGGACGCTCAAGTAGACATATGGGGTGTCCTTGGTTTTAAAGTAATAGGAAGAATCCTACTTGTAGAATCTTGAAACTAAGCAATTCCTTTTTAATTGTATAAAATCAAAGATGCCCTTTCGATCAAAGAATTTGAACTTCTTGAAAGATAAACATATTTACTGGAAAACATCATTTTCCTATTTCTCTCCAGTTCAAATTTATACATTGTTTAAATCATATTCGGTACACCATATTAAATTAGGGGCACATAATAAGAGGAAAATCATAATAGTGAAGTAACAAAACATGGCACTAAATACTTGGCAACGATCACCATGGAAGATTTGATTGATTAGGGGAGTGTGTTGAGGTGGATTACTGGGGGTTGTCCAAATATAGTGTTTGATGTCACACTGTATTAGAAGACTATAGTAGTAATGAGAAAAGAAAACATTTATGACATTATTTTTCATAAGAATTTTTTAACTTGTTAAGTGAAAATTTTTATATGATCTTTTGTATGACTTTTTTCCTCATAAGTGAAATTTTTAAGAGGAAATTACCCAAAACCCTAAAATTAAAATCTTGTATACTAAAATCAGGGGGATAGTTTTATCTTTCAAAAACCAAATATTTTATTTTAATTAAAATTTTTATAAAATAATTATATATACTTCAATACCCACATCACAGCCCTAATTAATCCCCTGTATCTATATTTCTCCAACCCAACGCCTCACACCTTCTCTCCACAGCATTGCTATGTGTGTGTATGGTAGCAGTTTTGGGGGTGGTGGTGGTGATTGTGTGGTGGCAATTTTGTGGTGGTTGATTTGGTGATTGGGGTGGGTAGCCGCGTGGCGATGGGTTGGAGATTCACATCGGTGTTGCAGATTCACATCGCTGTAGTGATGGCAATGGAAGAGAGGGAGACGAGAAGAGAGACGAAGGGAAAGAGCGCTATTGCCATTATGACCCAATCCACCACGAGGTTGGATGTGAATCTAGAGTGCTGCGATGCGAATCTGATTTGCTGATAGATCTTGCGGTGTCGAATCTGCAACGCCGATTTTGCCGAAATCTGCAACGTCGATATGCTCGAATCTGTAATTTTTTTTGTTCGATTTACTTAGTGGTGGTTGGCGGTGGTGGTTCTTGTGGGTGGTGGTTTATGCATGGAAATGGTACTGGTGATGCGATATGGTGTTTACGGTGGTTGGCTGTGGTGCGATGCTTTGAAGTGGTGGGATGGGGTGTGGGTGATGTCGGTGTTGTAGTGATGGTGATGTTGATGGTGTTGGCAGTAGGCAGCGTCGCTGGTGGTGGTGCAAGTGTTTGGGATGGCAGCGGTGGTTGGTAGTGTTGGCGGCACTCCGGTGGCAGTGGTGTGGTGATAGTGGCTGGCGGTGTGGTACGAAAGTGTTTGTAACCAACTATTTGAACTATCGGAAAGTGGTGGTGGTGGTGGTGATGTCCACAGTGTTGGTAGTGGGCCATGTCGCTGGTGGCTGAAATGGTGGTTGGTGATTGTTCGGTGCTTTAGAGTGGTGGGATGGGGTGTAGGTGTTTGTGACGATTCTATTGGTTGATTGAAAGTTGTGGCCAATAAATTGATTAATTTGTGATCAATATGGTGGTGGTGGTTTTGGCGTTGACGGTGGTGATGGTACTATTGGAGGCAACGTTGAAGTGGTGATCGTAAGTGTTGGTGGTGATAATAGATTATTTGGTTGATTGTGACCAGTGAATTGGTTAATCTTTGATCAATAAACAATATGTGACTAATGAAAAAGATCAATTGTGACCAAGAAATACTGTGTGTCCTAAAAAATTAATAATTTGTAACTGTATAATGAGTTGTGATCTGTGACCTATAAAATTTTTGATTCGTAACGGAAAAATATTATGTGACTTATAAAATTTTTGATTTGTAACCGAGCAATAAGTTGTAACCAATAATTTGATAAGTTGTGACTAAAAATTAATCGTGACTAATTAATTTTTTGATTTGTGATCGATAAACGAACTGTGATCTACAAAATTTTTGATTTGTGATCGTAAAATAATTTGCCATGTAAATTTTCTTATTTGTGACCAAAAAATTATAAGTGACAATTAAATTGTTAATTTGTGACCAAATTGTATAGATATGTAACCTAAATTTATTTAATTAATAAAATAATTAATTAATTACTTAAATCATAAATAAATTTTAATAAAAATCTGATTTTTGAAATTTAAAACTTGTTTTCTTAATTTTGAAATATGACATACTTCATCTCTTACTTATGAAATTTTCCCAATTTTTAACTTACAAGTACAGTTAAACCTCGATAAAGTAATATTCGATAAAATAATAATCTCGATTATATAATAATTTCTTTTGATCCCGACTTGAGCCAATGGATTAAAGTAATAACCTCGCTAAATGCATTAAGTAATAAAAAAAATTGAATCCTTAAGGGTCCAATAAAAATATAAAGTAATATTTATTGGATTTTATTGAGAATATATATATATATATATATAGACCAAAATCTTTCAATCAATCAATAATACTCGTACAATAATCATTCCTTTTGAAATTATGCATCTATAGTTGATTGTTTTTTCTTCCCACCTAAACCAAAATGAACCCCATCCTTAACTTTTTATAGAGCATACACAACTTCCAGAATATTTTACTCGTATTGTAGTAAGTAGTTGCTTAAAGTGACTATTGCTTGAAATGCCTCTTTTGACGACACATTTGGGACAACGCTACTATCATCTGGTTTATGATCATTCTTATCATCATTACTGTTCATTACCGATTGAATAATTTTTTCGTCTGTAGGTGATTTCATAACTGCATCATTCTCGCTAGGATAGTTCAAAAGATGTTCAACATCCATCACATTTTTAGAGTATAAATTAGAGATGACATCATTTAATCCTTGGATACCTTCATCTAATTCACCAACTTCTGGTTCGGGAAAATTGTTTTCTTCTGACCGAATCTTGCAATGTCGAAAACAATTTGCAATTGTTGTTGTCTTCACATCAAAATTCCAAACCATGTTAGCAAAATTAATAGCATTCAAAATATTAATTTTTCAGGATTTGGTGCTTCAACCTCAAGGCCTTGTAAGATGCTAGAATAAAAACGATGACGATAATGAGTTTTGAATGCTCGAATAATCCCAGCATCACATGGTTGAATCTTAGACGTTGTGTTAGGAGGTAAGAAAAATAACTCTACATTTCTCAAACTTTCAACTACCTTTGGATGAGTTGGGCAATTGTCTACTATTAAGAGAACCTTCTTGTCATTCATTCTCTTATCAAACCAACCAACAAAATCTTGAAAAAGCAAGCCAGTCATCTAAGTTTTCTTGTTGGATCGATACTTGCAATTAAGATTGTTCATGTTCACATTTTTAAAGCATCTAGGATTTACATACTTACCAATAACCCAAAGTGGTATTTTGTCAGATCCATCACCATTGCAACAAACAACAACAGTAATTCTCTCCTTATTTTTTTTGCGTCCTTCGAGCTGTTTGGTAGCAAGTGAATGATCAGCTTCCAATCGGTAAAATAATCCAGTTTCATCCATATTGTAAATAACTTTCAACTGAAACTGGTCTAGTTTTGATCGTATTCCAGGTAAAGCATTTTCAATGTTCTCCAAGATAACTGAACCACTTTCACCAAAACGTCGGTAAGATTTGATTCCATATCTTACCTTGAAACGTTCTAACCATCCACTAGAAAAGCTGAATTTTGGATTAATTTCACCATACATTTTTTGCAAAAGCTATTTTGCTTTTTCTTGGATAATTTCTCCAGACATGTTCACTTTATCTTGCCTTTGAAGAAACCACTCATACAAAACTTTCTCTAAATCAGGGTATTTTACCGATTTGTGCCTTTTAACATCGCTATTTTTCATCTTATTTGACAAATATTCCGACGCCCTTTTGAGAGTGTTCGATATTGTTGATTGATTAATTGTCAAATCAAACTTTTGTTGCACCCATGCTTGCATATCTTTTTGGCTAATAGTTGGATTCTCTTTCTTATGTTCACATATTGCACTTCTCATTTTATCGGTTAAAGTTGATTTTTTTACTCCTTTCAAATGATGAGAAGATATTGGAGGGGAAACAAAATATTGTATGTGCTTGGAATATATTTTCCAAACATCTAGCTTTTATAGGTAAAGACTAAACCTTTCATTTGCTATGTACGTAAACTTAGTTTTTAGAGACATTAAATTTCATTAAAACTATTGAGCTTTCCTAGATTCAAATAATACTTTGATTAGTGTCTTTTGATTTTTCTTACCACATACAATGTACATATTTTAATTGAAAAGCTCTCTCTAAAATAATAAATATTTATTTATCAATAAATGAATAATTTATTCATTTATTGATAAATAAATAACCTCGCTAAATGAATATTTTTTCCGGTCTCGAGAGTATTACTTTATCGAGGTTTAACTGTACCTATAAGTGAACTTTTTTAACTTAAAAATGAATTTTTTGCTTACAATTAATTTTTTTTTGCTTGTAAATAAACTTTTAACTTCTAAGTATTTTTACTTATAAGTGAAGGTTTTGTATAATTGGCTTTTTATACTTATGTAATAATTATTGTCTTATAAATGAATGGGCAACTTAAAAAAATACCTTTAAAATTGGATGTCTTTTGAAAAATCATGTGAAAAGTTTTTTGAAAATAAAAAAATATTGTGTGCTACAATGTCACTTTTAAAAGTTAAGTGTGATACAATGTCACTTTTCTTAAAAATTGATGTTTGTTACTAAAAAAATGATAGAAATCAAGAAGATAACTTGAAAAAAGTGACAAATACTAAAAAAAATAGTGACTATTTTTTTTTAAATGACAAATACTAAAAAAGTGACGAATTAAAAAAAAACATAAATTCAAAAAAGTGATAGAAAATAAAAAAAAAGTGACAAACACTCAATGCCACTTTTTTATTTAAAAATTGATATTTGTCACTCAAAAATGATAGAAATTAACGTTTAAAACAAATTCTTATAAACAAATTAAAAGCTTAATTGAAGATGTATTGTTTAATTAGAATTTGATTGTGTATGACATTTTAATTAAAAAAATGTCACAACATGCTCTGTCGCTTTTTATGAAGGTGTCACAAAATTTAAATTAAAAAAATGTATAAACACCATCACTCTTCATCAAAGCTTGGTAATCCTATATAAATCATCTATCATTCAACATCGTCAATGCAATTTACAAAAATACAATTGATGTTCTCATCCAAATCCTCTTGTTTCTGGTTTCTACCTTCATATTTGCTCTTGTTTTTGTTGGAAAATAGACATTGATACAAGAGTTTATCAAATTGGCATCAGTGGAAGATGACTCTTAACCGATAGAGTGGGGAACCGGAAGGGAGAATTGAGACCTATCACCAAGAATTGAACATCATCTTATTAGCTTCATCCTCAGGTATAGGTTGCTGAAGATGAGAAGCGAGAGTACACTGTTGTTGTGAGAGAGACAAAAGGTCAGCAGTTGGAATCAAAATCTTATGCTCATTGCATACATTTCCCAGCATTTTCTCGCCAACATTGCTTTCTATCTCTGCTCCCTGGATCCAAAATCACCAACCAAATCCGTGCTTGTTGCGCGAGTTTTCGCTTGAATTTGAGGTTTGGTAAAAGATACAACAATTTGGGATTTTTTTTTTATTGGATTTTTAGAGGTAGAAAGAAGGGGAGAGAAGGTAAATGGGTTGTGGAAGCCATAGGAGCAATGCTGAGGGCTTTGAAATATTTCACTTCTAAGTATTTTTATGCAGTTTTACGTACAAGCGTTTTTTGACAGATGAGTAAATATTTTAGTTATAAAATAATTTTTGAACTTATAAGTTGTTTTCTAATTACATAAGCTTTTCATAACTTATAAGTTATTTTTACTCATAGGATAACTTTTTTTAACTTACACAAAAGTTATAAGAGAAATAATCATTTATATAAATTCTTTTGTTTGTAATTAATTTTTTTTACTCATCATAAATTTTTCATTAAAAATGATTATTTTCCTTATAAGTTATTTTTTTAACTTATAAATGAAATTCTTGACTCTTATTTATTTGTAAGTAAATTTATGTAGTTCAATTTAACAAATATTTTCTTAATAATAAATGAGAGAACAAATAATACGGCCCTAATCCACCATTATATAACGTATTAATTTCATATATTCGAATAACAGAATAAGGGAGGACAAGCACCTTAGATTAATTAATTAATTGCCCTAAACACTCAATAAGAATTAGATAGAATTATTTTAATTCTTATCCAATCTAATACGAAGCGCCATAAATCTTCTTAAGTCATTCAAGAAACAAGTGTGTTAACATTAGACCATGTACAAGTTTAGACCATTGGATTTTGAGTTTGAAAAACATTTTATCTCCATTTTCACTCTCTTGAAATCACATTCATCAACACGTTGTTGAATTTAATGATGATCATGCTAAGAACAAAAATCACAACATGATGATTGATTAATCGAATTCATACCTGCGGAAGATATTGATGATATGAATAATAAAAGCTAGATCTTCCCCTCCTTACTCCTCACAAAATATCAATCATCAATGGAGCAAGCTAATAAAAACAATATGGAGAGGAGATGTGACCTAACCTTTATATAAAAAATTATCAATCCGTCCATTACGACATAAAACTCTAATTAAGTTTTACATATATTTCCTGCCCACCTACTTAAAATTACAACATCATATTAAATATAGCCCATAAGGTGTAAAAGGCACAATTGATCACTTAATATATTTGGTCCTATCAAAAAATCATTATGAATCATACATCTAGTTCATAAAAATCACAATCAAATGGGAAGCTCACATTAGAATTATTCCAACATTTTCCCACTTGGACAAACATTTTATTGTTATAACAAAACTTTTAACACTCAGGTTAGACTACATAGGTAGCCATACACGTATAGCTCCAACGATGATACTTTACGTAACATGATCCGATCCAACAAGAATGTCAACATTGAACATGAAAGTCATTAGACCAATTAAATGATGTAAGACCATTCCACAGCTACAAATGCCAACATCCTTATTGACATGGATTCCTATCCTCCAACCAATGTAGTATGAACTTAGCACTAGATGTGATAAAAAACGGTGCTACTTCGTATCGGTTCTCATAATGCTTCAAATCAAAATAAAACCACATATCCCTAAGAAAGACTCATCTTATATCTTTATTTGTCACACCTCGATATTACAATAATATCTTAATAAAAGATATAGGTCAAATGCATACTCAAAATAATTCATGGATAGGGAAAAATATATTTTATTATTGGAAGAAGCTATACCCGAAAAAAAACATATGGGTTGCTTTTTGAGTCCGGATTGTCGACCTTTCGAGGAATGTTAACTTTCAATTACACAACTTTAATTAATTTAATTTTAACAATAAAAACAAACACACAATAAAGTTACATTTTGGAATATAAGAAAAATTAACTATGAATCTACAAAATAAGAAAATATAAAAATCTTGAAAATTTTGGAAGAAAACGTGATTGGTATTTATGATTTCGCTTAACCATTGCCTAATTAATTTCTCCACAAGCCTATTAACCAGCTACTTATTTATGATGTTAGACTCGATTTTTCAATTTTAGTTAATTACCTCTTTCGAACAAAATTAACTCTACTTGATTTGTTTAACCTACTATATTTCTATGTCGATTAAAACTAAATAACTGCAATAAATATTTTTGAAAATAGCTTAATGGGTCACTAAACATAATTATTCATTGACCACATAAATGAAAATGCAATAATAACAATAGTAAAAATACTTGAAACAACTAACTTAATATTAAAGAGCAAATATTAAAATTAATTAAAAATTAGATTAAACTAATACTATAAATCCCAACACAATAAATTAGCCTATGTTATGTAGAAATCAGAATATTTTACACAATACATTGCAAATAGAAAACAATAATAAAGAAGATAATACAAGAGTGAAGATAATTACCTTTTGGATTTGAATTCTTGATGGCTTGATCTTGATTTTTTCCAACCATTTATCTCTCAAATATATTCTCCTTGTGCTCTTGGTTGTCCCCAAAATCTAAGAAAATGAAAGAGAAAAAGAAAGAAGAAAGAAAAAGAAAAATGAAGAAGAAAAGAGGAAGAATAGTAGAAAATGGTGTTTAAAAAGGATAAAAACCGTCCCAACCAAAGTTCAAGAAGAGTCCTTGAAAAAATTAAAATGTTATGCACAGGTCCTAAATTTCAACCTAAGGCACGCGCATAGTACAAAATGAGATCCGCACCTTAACACTTTGGTTATCCTCTGTTACTCAAAATTGTTACCCAAATTTAGGGTTAAGGCGTGCGCCTTAGCTGCGGGCTTAGGTGCTTCTTAGCATTTTTTTCTTCCTTTCAGTTTGGTCTCTAAAGAATTGCATGATTGGTCCTTCAACTTCTGCTGCATCTAATTGGGTCCTCAAATTTTGACTTTCATTTCAATTTTGTCCTCCATAAATTGCATCCAATGTCCTTAAACTTTCTTAAGTTGTTTATTTTTGTCCCCCAACTTCACTTTTTGCACAATTTTAGTCATTTTCTCCTTATTTTGCTTTATTCTCATTTCATTGGCAATTTTTGGCCTACAAAAGTAAATGTTACATAATTGTGAGTAGAATTTCAATCATTTCATCAATAATAAACATATTTAAACATTAAATAAGTGTGTGAAAACACAATTATCACCTACGTACCTCGTGAAGGGATCAAGCCAAGATGAAGTTAATTTACATATATAAATCCTACTAACCAAAAACATCAAAGGTTTCCAAAATACCCATATTAATAACATTTGTTTTAAAGACTTTTGGAGCGAGTCTCTTGGTCAAACAATCCGCAATCATCGACTCTATTAATATATTCTATACTCGTCTGCCCTTCCTTGACTCTTTCTCTAATTACCAAATATTTGATATCAATATATTTTGACCAACCAGAGCTTTAATATTCCTTGAAAAGAACATTGTTGTGCTATTATTACAATAAATAGTGATTGATTTTGAGATGGAATCATCAACTTTCAATCTAGAAATGAAATTTCTTAACCAAACGACTTGGATTGTAGCCCCATAACATGCCACAAATTCGCTTGCATAGTAGAAGATGTCACTAGAGTCTGTTTGCACTATCAACTAATATGAAAATATAACTTGAGGTTGATTTCAAATCATTTTGAAATCCAACAAAATTAGAATCTGAATAGACTACCACCTCAAGATGATGTGAATACTGGAAAGAAAGCATATAACCTCCAGTTTTCTTCAAGTACCTCATAACTTTCTTAGCCGATTTCCAATACTCTTGTCCTGGATTTGATTGAAACCTACTAAGGATACTGACTGCGTAGGTTATATCTGGTCTAGTGCAAACTTGAGCATATGTCAAGCTCCCCACAATACAAATACATGGTATCATCTTCATAGATTCTATTTCTAGCTCATTTCTTGGACATTGAGTTTTGTTAAATTTACCCCTTTTATAATAGGTACATCACTAGGTGCAAAATTCTACATATTGAACCTTTCTAGAATACGTCGTATATAAGATTTCTGAGAAAGTCCTATCAAGCCACGATTTCTATTACGAGTATTTCAATGTCAAACGAGTATTTCAATGTCAAACACATAAGAAGCTTCTCCTAGATCTTTCATCTTAAAATTGGTAGACAACATTCTCTTTGTCTCATGAAGCAATCTCAAGTCACTACTAACAAGCAAAATGTTATCAACATATAGGACAAGAAAAATATTATTTCTCCTACTGATTTTGAGATAAATACATTGATCAACTGCATTTTCAACAAAACCAAGAGAAGTTACAATCTCCTCAAACTTTAAATACCACTGTTAAGATGCTTGCTTGAGGCCATATAATGATTTGTTTAACTTGCATACGAAACTTTCTTTTCCCTTAAGAACAAAGCCTCCAGGTTGTCTCGTGTAAACCTTTTCAGAAGATCCTCATTTAAAAATGATGTCTTAACATACAGATGATGAAGTTTCAAATTATAGTGTGCCACAAGAGCTATGATAATTCGAAAAGAATCTTTAAACGAGACAAGTTAGGAGGTTTCAACATAATCAATACGCTCCCACTGAGTGAAACCTTTTGCAACTAATCTTGCCTTTATTTTTTGTTCAACATTCCCTTTCAAATTCAACTCACTTTTGAAAATCTACTTGTTATCTATAGCTTTAGAATCTGACGGAAGTTCAACAAGTTCCCGAACTTCCTTGCATGCCATAAAATTCATTTCATCTTCCATGGCATTTATCCATTTATCTGCCTCAAGATTTGTCAATGTTTGATTATAAGTTACATGATTAACAACGTGCCCAATATTAAAATCACTATCCAATAAATATGTAATATAATCACTGGGCAATGTAAATCTCATTTTCCTATGCAATCTTCTGACTTGTGGTTCAGAAATTGACTCTATCATTGTTGGAGAAGGAATTGAAAGTTCATCTTCGTTCCTCAATTCTTCATTAACAACTTCAACTAGCTAAGAACCAACTTTTTCATGTATAATAGGAAATGGAACAACAACTTGTTTGGTTCAACAAAAAGTTCTCCTAATGTAGAACTCCTACTATCTCCAAGATCATTCTTCAGAAATTTAGTAGTAATAGACTCAACAATTCTAGTGCCACGATTTGGACAGTAGAATTTATATCCTTTTGATCTCTTTGGGTACCCAATAAAGTAACCAGAAGTAAATTTTGGATATAATTTATTTTCAAATGGATTATAAATCCTAACCTCAACTGGACATCTCCAAAATCTTAAAATGGGCCAAACTTGTCTATGTTCTGTCCATAATTCAAAAGGTGTCTTTGCAAAAACTTTACTAGGAACTTTGTTCAAGATGTACATAGTAGTTTTCAAAGCTTCACCCCATAGATACTCTGACGAATTTGTTCTACTCATCATGGTCTTGACCATATCTTTCAGACTTCGATTACGTCTTTTAGAAATATCATTCTGGTCAGGTGTCCTTAGCATGGTGTATTAAGGCACTATTCCACACTCTTGTAAAACTTTGTAAAATCACCCACGTTTTGACCATTCTTGTCATATTTCCCATAATACTCACCACCATGGTCGGATCTTACAATTTTTATACTTTTTACACATTGTTTCTCTACTTCCATTTTGAAAATCTTGAATTTTTCAAGCGGTTGTGATTTGTTATTAATCAAGTAAACATATTCATATCGTAAGAAATCATCAATAAAGGTTATAAAATATTTGTTTCCACATATGGTGGAGGGCAAGGTCCACTGATATCAGTACGTCTCAAGTCCAAAATACTATCGCTCTTAGTGGAACCTTTTCTTGTAGACTTAGTTAGATTTTTTCTTATACAATCCACATAGGTGTCGAAATCAGAGAAGTCTAGAGAGGGAAGTATCTCAACTTTTACCAATTTTTCCATTCTATCCCTTGAAATGTGACCCAATCGTTTATGTCACAACATAGATGACAATTTACGGATTAGAGCCATTTTCTTTGATACATTGGTAACAAAAGGTAGTTCACCAAAAGGAGTCGAAGACAATTTATATAGATCATCACATAAAAGTTCATTCTCAATCAAACAAGAGTCATAAAATGACTCAACCATTCCATCACCAAAATTAAAAAGAAAAACCACAAGCATCAAGTTTTGATATAGAATTAAGTTCCATCTCATTTGCGAGAAAAATTAGATTCTAAAGACAACTTCACTGCTCCTGTGAATTCAACCTTCACTTGAACTCTATTTCCAGCACATAAGCTCACTTCATTCTCACTTGACCTCAATTTGCTTGTGAATTCCTGCAGAACTCTTCTTATTTTCTAATCAAGTCTTAAACTTAAAATAGTCTTTCTGTCAATGACCTTTCTTTTTGCAAAACTTGCATTGATCATTTTTCTTTATAATTCTTTTGGGACCACAAAATTTTTTATTCTGCTGATTTTGATGTAACTTATTACTCTTACGGAACTTAGACTTATGGTTATATGAAAACCATTTGTTTTGTGACAGGTGAAAAGCTAATTGCACAGTTTTTACAGTCTCATACCGCATCCTATACTCCTCTTGGGTACATACTGTAATAAGGTTATTTAAATTCCATTTGTTCCGCTGAGCATTTTATGCGACCTTAAGTTGATCTAATTGGCTCGAAAGGATATTTAAAACATGATAAAGTAGAAAGGTTCTGCAATAGGAATGTCTAGAGTTTTTAGTTTAGATGATATATTTATTATCTTCATGACGTGCTCCCAAACACCAATTGTACCATCATATCTCATATTCATTAATTTATTCATCAAATCTCCAGTTTCAATTTTATCAGACTAAATAACTCTCTCATATGACATCCATAAAACCTTTGACATTTTTATTATTTAGGATAACACCCATAATGAAATCGGATATAGAGCGCTTAATAATTTTCAAATAGAGTTTTTTGGCCCTTTCCCACTTTTCATACTCGGCAACATATTCAAGAGTACTCTTATATGTGGGTTTCGAAAGCTTTTTCTCCATTGCAAAATTCAAGCCTAGAAAACCAAATACTATTTCTACGCGTCATTTTCATCTCACATAATTATTCTTAGTCAAGGTTTCAATAGCAGACTGTTGACTTGAAAGAGATGATGCATTATAAACTGTGAAAATATAAAATATCATATTTAATATCATTCAAATATAATACATGCAGTCGATGAATAATAAAATATCTATCTAATTAACATGAGCTATTAATTAGATAATCCGTTATTAAGATTAAAACCATATGAATCTTATTACTGTAACAGTCTAGATACATCATCATAAAGTCACCCTTGGGCTGACAATAAAACATGTTATAAAGTACTCTTAAAACACATCATGTAGTTAGTTAACAAAATTACTTTAATTTTCGAATCACTAACACTTTTTGACAGAAGGAGATTTATAGATTAAAGTAAACTCATTAACCGCCTTATGCCATTTTCCAACGCATCACATATAATAACATATTTGGGCAAGATACAAAAGGAATAAATAATAATAAGTGTGTCACTTTGACAGCTACTACCCATTTTTATTTTAAATATTTTCCTTAGTGGGAAAAATAAGGATTGTCTCAAAGTCCATTAAAAATTCAATCACAAAATAATAGTTATGCAACAATTATAATCATTAATCAATGAAGGAAAAAATTCACATGTGATTGAGATACAAAATTGACAACAAAATTTCAATATATATAAAAAATAAAATTTAAGCGCATAAATAATAGCGACACTTAAATAGATAAACATTTAACGAAAACATGAAAGTCGTCAATCAAATTTTTTATTATTATTATTATTATTATTATTATTATTATTATTATTATTATTATTATTATTATTATTTTGAATTTGATATAATTTTAAAGGGGTCAACTTTAAATAAAATTTTAAATTGATCAAAATTGATATCTTTTGGGTCAAATATTTTAAAAATCAAATTTAAAACCTCTTTTTCATATTTAAATAAAAAACCATTTTGAAATTTGCAATATGACCTTGGTTCAAATTGCAAACAGAACCTCCAAATTTTCCAAATTTCTAGAAGGCCCTCCTTTTAAAAAATGTAAATTTAACCCTCGAAAGATAATTCAAACCGGGGGCTTGTAACTTAATTATTTACATTGGAAGCCCCCATCTCCAAACAATTCACAAACCCTATATAAGAGTTTCCCTTTTACGAACAAGGAAATTGTTACACTCCGATTATATACGCCTCGAATACCGAAGTGTCATTTCACCTCCGAAGCCGAGACCAAGTGGACCCCTTGCAGCACCATTTATTCCGACCTGAAAACGACCCTTCCGAAACTTCTCCGAAGTGATATAGCGATTCTTACTACTGATCTGTCGAAGCATCTCACCTCCGAGGTCGAGATCAAGTGGACCCCGGTTAGAAGATCCGCCGCCAATTTGAGATTTGTCCTATACCTAAGGCTTAAACTGATTTGACGTCTCCATAAGGCTAGTTGATGTGACTTACCAACTTTACGTCAATTCAACTCAGAGGAAACAAACTGTCCGCCCACTCTACGAACGTGGCTGATTGACGCCTATGAGCAGACTCTTCATACCGTCAGATGTATACACGCATTCCACATCTAACGGTTCATGCCACCTATAAATACCCAAGGTTCGGCAAGAGGCAGAGGTAATGAAACTCTTAATACACAGCACTCTATAACAAGTTTATATATTCTCCTCCCCCTTTATTGATCGATTTGTATAGCCCCCGGGTACTGTTCCGATCACCCAAACCTGACTTGACCGTCGGAGTGTATACGGCTGCCACCACCCCCGTTGGTTCCGACCGTGTGCGCCTGACTATTTGTTGATTGTACACAGGGAGGAATACGTGGAGT